TTCAAAACTAACTTACTGCTTATCGTCTGCTCAATTCATTCCAAAGATCAGAAATTTTCAGGTAGCATATCCAAAAAAATGTATACAATTATTTGATTCAATAGCAATATTTATTATAATTGAAAAAATATATTGATTATATTAAAATTTAAAGTAACATCAATATGGTATTCCACATTACTATTTTAATTAATAATAAAATAAAAAGATTTATGTGGCTTGTTATCTAGTTCTAATTAATTAACCAATTATTTTTGTTGATAAAACAAGAAAATTTCGATGCCAGTACAAACGTCGATTTTTTAAAGTACACGAACGAACATACCGACATTGAAATTTTTGAGTTTTTTTTTAACAATAATTTATTAGACAGTTTAAAAAATAAAAAGTCAAAAATTCAAAATAAAAATACAAAAAAGCCTCTCTTCTACTAGTATGAGTCTAGTTTTTCCTGGCACAATGTAACATTTGTAAAACTTTTAAGAAAGTGACATTTATAAAATCAAAATGGATCAAAATTCAGTTAAGTTATTAAGTTAAAAATCGATTAAAACTGCCATAGAATGATTTCAGCAGTAAAAAATGTTTACAAGAATTTGCCGCCGGTAGCACAAGAACAGGGAAGAAGCTAAATATAGATTGGAAAACTGAAAAACCCATTGACAATTTGGTGCTAAAAAAGTTTGCTTCCAAGCTTCCTGACCTTGAGAAGAAGGTCAACACTATAAAGCCATTCTTATATATAATTCAATGTTGGAATCTTATTTGTGATGCGTCGTTTAGTATTTTATTCGTATTTATTCATATATGATGTTTATGTTTTGTTTAATCCTCTGAATAAACATAGGAAGAGTGTTGTTATAGACTTTTAAGCTTTTTTTTACGTTTTGCACATATTCCAGCCTTTTCTCTTCTTTTACTGTTTCTTATTCAATGAGATTTTATTTTTGAAACTTTATAAGCAAAAAAGCGTTAAAATGCGCACCAGTATGGGGATGAGAATGCTTTTGTATAGAATTCTCCATATATACATATAGTTATTATATGTGTTTTATATATAATAATTATATATTTTTCCAGTGTTAATATCTAGGTCAAGCTTTTCGTGGCGTTGAAATCTTCAGCCTCATGAATGAACTAACGTATTTAATAGATTTTATCATTTTATGTTACGATTATCGTACTAGCGCGTGTAAAAGTCTTTGTAAGTTTTGTCCAATGATCATTTGAAAGTTGCTGTCAGTATTTTTTAATTAAATAACGTCAACCAAAACTTACACAGAAGTCTTTTTTATGATTTAAAAAAAATTACATTTTACATTTAAATTTTCATTTTTCATGGTACTGCAACCGAAGGTCACTTAATTTGTAATTTTTTTACCAATTTTATAGTAGAATACCGATACCTTAATTTAATTGGCTTAATTACTTAATTAATCACTTTTAATCTTAAGTGTCCAAGTTGGATTATCCAGCTGCAACTCCAAATGTAATAAATTGTCAATAATTATATTATATATATAATATATCAAAAAAGGTAAATAAATTTAATTAACATAAATAAAAAAGTCATGTTACAAAAATAAAAAGTAAAACTTGAAACTAATAATCTGTAATGGTAAGTAACGTAATGCAAGTGCAATGTCTTCTGCCAACAACTCTAATGAAAATTTTGTACAAACTTGTAGGACCAATAGTTCAGGCGAGTTTCAAAAATTAAATAGTTCGGTGATGTTTTAAAATTTCAAATCATTTACCACATTGATTAAATTATATAATTTATAATGCTGGAGCTAGTGACATAGTGGCCATTTCTGAAAATGCCAAAAAAATATAGACAGGGCAACCATTTCTAAATGCAAAATAATTTAGACATGGCAGTCATTTTCGAACCTAAATAATATTACTGTAGGACATAAAATTTACTTGTGTTGAAGGCTTTAAAGAAAATATTTTGCATGTATGCACAATAGAACAAATTATTTGCCTGTTGATCATATTACTTTTTCGATAGATCTAATTAATGATTTTTGAACGTGTTCAATAAAAAAAATCATTCAGATATATAGTTATTAATAAAATTACTTTTTCATCAATTTTATTAATAATTTTAGAATATGATTTGACTGATTGAGTTATAAAATAATAGGGAGTAATTTTTTTATTAAGGCTGTTCCAAAAGCTGTGGCTTGTTAAATAATTTGGAGATGGCCTGCTGGCCTAATAAGATAAAATCTTGTTATATTTTTATAGCCGGTTCATGGCTTCATTATATCTTTTTATATAAACACAATCAAATGTCTGTTTTCACGAGCTTTTCAATTGCAAAATATGTTAGTGGATTCATTGATTGAATTGGTTGATTATTCATGTCATAACATATTCAAAACTTGACTATAAATGCAATTTATTAGCTGATAGTTTTATTTATGATATCATAAGCAGCAAGATCCTGACTTTAGCTTATAAGTATACCTAACGAAGTAGATTGAATAGATTGAATATATTTAATGTTATTCTATCATTGTTGTTCTTATATTTGCACCTCTGCGTAATGGTTAATAAGCATGAGGTGCAAATAAACTTGCTTTTCTAACTGGTATGGAAAGCTGGAAATTATGATGCTTTTTTACATACTGTGAAAGCCAATTAAATAATCCAACAAACCACAATGTCTGATATTCATGTTCTTTTTACCTCACTATCGTATTCATATAAATTTAGCCACAAGAAATACAGTATGATTTTGGAATAGATTAGGACCTGATTGAACTAACGCATGCCAAATTTCCCTTGTTAGTGTTTTCATTAAAAAGAATTTTTACGGGATGTCATAATTGATTTCCTGCATGGTTGAGAGAGTTTAGTTAACTCTCCTGATGTTACAGACTGCATAATTTCGCAAGAGTTTGCCCAAGTAGTTAAATAACCATCCAATTGGTACTAAACTTCTACAAAACATTGAAAATCCTTCAAGTCTTTTTAAGCTGAAAAATATGGAAATGCGACAAAAAATTGTTCTGAAAAATAAACATTTGCACAATGCATGGGTGACATAAATGTTACCCTCATGTGATTAATAGAATTGTCCTGTAAGGGTAGTTTTCATCAAAAATTGCTTTTCACACCAGGTATGGAAATAATTTGTCAGGGTTTCAGAATATTCACAAAGTAGTAAATCACAATTGTGTTTGTTAACTGAATCACGAATAACAGTCTTCAAAACTTTTACTCCCTATTTTAGACATAGTTATTTTTTTGTAAAATAGCCTTATGCAATACACTAATTAACTTTTGTATGTTCAAAAATAGATCTGACCACATTGATTGCAGCCACATTTTTGTCAACTAAAAGAAATCACAATCCACGTTGATTGTTTTGTTTAAAATCATTAAAAGCAGCTTATAAAACACTGGTCTTTTCATCAATGGTACACTGCTGCAATCTGACTGTTTCCATTACCATCAACCAATAAAAGTAAAAAAAAAGGCATTTGCCTTTTGCATGTGGCATTATTACATGTCATGCAGTCACCATTAGATCAAATGTTTGTTTCGTATGAAGTTTGCAACAAAATATGTTTGATAAACGGATAATGTTATTGAACTAAATTGCTGTGAAAGTTTTTTAAATATCGATAACATTTCATCAACTTGATTTTTGGATTTGTCCTCTCTCATTGATGTTTTTATGTTTTGGACTTGAAACTTTACTGATAGAGTAGTAGACGACTGTTACAGATTGCCCACTGCCGTAATTTATTAATTAGTTCTTTTAAAAACAGTTTCGTATTTTTACCAGTTGGTCCAAAAGTTTCGATGCAGATTGGTTGGAGAATTTCAGGATCATTGAGAGTAGAATGTTAGACATTTTTTGGTCGTATGTTTTTAAAGCCGTGGTACTTGCCTCAACCACTGTGAAAGAAATTTAACTTTCGGCCATCATGTGATAGAATGTCACATCTCAGGCCAGTGAACGTCCCATAGCCCATGGAAAAATTATGTGTCCATCAGGCCTGAAGTTTTCATCTTCGATCAGGCCTGATGCCGGTTTTTTATCACCAGTATGGCAGCCTTTTGACACACCGCCCTTTGCTTACATACATAAAATGTACAGTAAATATGAATAAAATATATCTAAATTTTTTTTTCAATTGTCTTCAATGTTAACAAGTTAAAACTTTATGTAATCGGTTGCCGTGTCTGTAATTTTTTCACATTCAAAAACGACCGTCGTGTCTCAAGTTACTACGCCTATTTTATTGATGATAAATTGTGCAATTAGTGATATAGTAATAAGATTTTATAATTATTTCATGGATGTTTAATAAATGTTTGCTTTTTATGTATTTTTACTATCATAACATTCTTGTAATAAATTGATTTTCTTCCTAATTAGGATATCAAAAGACGTCTGCAAATAATGTTAACTCATCAGATCAAAGTTATTCAAATGTAGAACAAAATTTATTATATGATGATGAAAGTCTCAAAAAAGGAGAACTGCAAAGAGGTTTCATGTTTAATAAGTTTGCTCTTTGTTTAACAGATACTATTTTGTTAGAAAGTTATTTATAAAAAATGTTGCCTTTACATGAGAAAAGGGATTTATTTAGTTTCCCACACACCAACTCCTGAAATATCACCTATTGTTTTTTCTTGTTAAAAAAAGGCTGTAAACTTCATGTTTAACTATAAATAAATGGAAGTAATAAATAATAACAAAAGTAAAACCTGAAATGGTGAATAATTATTAGTTTTATATTTAAATATTTTTACAAATTATAAAAATACTTTTAATGATATTTTGTCTATCATCTGCCACTGCTGAACATGTTAACTCATTGTCATAACATTCAATAAAGGAATGGCGATTCCTATGTTTTCTATGCTTTATTTTATATCTTACGGGCTCAGACGACCGTTCATTTAAACGAATTGCTGATCTCAAGCCATACAAAACAAGATTAGAAATTAGTCATCTCTTGATATTTTAGCTACAGATAGTTCAATAGTTATAGATTAAACTTTAAAAGATAAAACATGTGTGGGATGTGGGATTGAGTATGGTCGTGCGTGAGTATGGATGTGTAAGAGTGAATAATGAATGTGTGTGAGTGAGTTTGGATGTGTATGAGTGAGTTTGGATGTGTATGAGTGTGAATGGATGTGTGTAAATGAGTGTGATATGTTTAATTTTGCATTATTCATTTTATTGTTGTAATTTGTAACAAGTAAATTTAACATTTTATTTTCCAGTTAATTTTTCCAGTTGCTTCTTGTTTGTCTTTTAGTTTTTAACTGAAATTTTGCAAAACTTTAACCATTTGTGTTCCAGATGGTTGTGCTAGATGAGTTCCTTAATGAACTCTTTCACAACCATCCTGCCTTCTTATTATTATGTTGTATCATATTGAGGAGGAAATAAAATATTGTATTCTATTCTATTGTATTGTAATAGTTATAGATTAAACTTTAAAAGATAAAACATGATGCAAAGAGACTGAAGGTGTAAAGATGAATGACTCGCCATAAGCAACAGCTACGTTTTGGTGGTAGCTATGAAATATGTTCAAGAATAATAATAATAATAATAATAATATTATTAAATAACAATAATTATAGTCTGAACATATTTTTCTTTTTTTTTAATAAAACTAAATGATTGAATAAGATGATAAGCTGAACTTTTCACTTCATTTCAGCCATGAAATGCAATAAACATTAATCTCAATCAACTGCTGAAATAAGCACCAATTGCTGCTTCCAAATAATGTGAACTGTCATTGAACATTAATTTAATAGGTTTGTCTATTCTCAATTCTGAAGAACCTCAGTCGGCCCCTATACAAGGCCTGCAGTCATCAACTTTTGATAAAAATAGGCAGCCTGGAATCAGTCTTCTCGATGTCCAATCGGCATCATGTTAGTTTACTTTAATACAAGCTGTAAAGATATCATTTTGATATATTTTTATATTATATATTTTATTATTATTATTTTATATTATATTATACAAATATTTTTTAAATGTTCCATCGTTCGAATAAATGTTAACGTTTTAGTTCAGTTCAGATATTATAGTAACCAGTCCTAGGCATGAGCAAAAGGCTAGGCCCAACGCTTATAACTGGTGGTTGTTGTCAGGATGGGTGTTCGGATGTAAAAACTTTTCCCCAAATTATTCCTATGCCATCAAAAAGAAAAACAACGGCCCCTAGTTCTCAGCAGGCCTTAAGTGGTCAAGGGGTGCCAAGAATCCCTGGTAAGTATGCAATAGTGGAGGGATGTTGCAGACAAATTCAGAACGGCCCATCTATGGTACTTAGACATGGAACGCTCAATGTTGGATCTCTGACTGGTCGCAGCATGGAAATCGCAGAAATGCTCGAGCGTAGAAGGATTAACATCTGCTGCCTTGAGGAGACCCGATGGAAATCGAATGGTGTCTGTCACATCAACTTAGACAATGAAAATATAAACTATTCTGGAATGGTCGAAAGACGGCCAAAAATGGTGTAGGAATTTTTATCAAAGAACCGCTAGCCCAAGAAGTAATGGATATTAAAAGGATTAATTCACGTCTCATGTGGATCAAGCTTCGCATAGAAAAGCAAACAATGATTATTTTTTCTGCATACGCACCACAGACAGGCGAATCAAATGAGATGAAAAATGACTTCTGGGTTGCATTCTCTGACACCATCTCAACAATACCAAAATCTGAAACAATCCTGATTGGAGGCGATCTCAATGGCCACGTTGGAGAGAAAAGAGATGGTTTTGACAACGTACATGGCGGTTTTGGCTATGGAGAACGGAATGAAGATGGCAACCGCATCCTTGAGTTTGTTGAAAGTCACGGGTTTTGTTTACTGAACACATATTTTAGAAAGAGGTTGGAACATATCATAACATACAAAAGTGGACAATCAGCCACGCAAATTGATTTCTTCGCTGTAAAGCAACAGCACCGAAGTCTATTCAAAAATGTCAAAGTTCTACCTGGCAAATCATGTGTCGCCAAACATAGAATCCTTGTGGCAGATCTGGTTGTCGAACTGTTAAAATATAAGTCTAAACAAATGCCTCGGAGAATTAAAACGTGGAAGCTGAAAAGCAATATTCATGGAGAAAAACTTCAACAGATTGTCGCCACACAGTTAGACCACCAATCGCAAGCCAGTACAGATTGGAGTACATACAAAACCCTTTTGATAAACGCTGCAACAACAGTTTGTGGGAAAACGGGTACAAAACGTCAGCATGAACGGGACACTTAATTGTGGAATGACAGTGTACAAAATGCAATAGCTGAAAAGAAAGTTGCATACAAGCAATGGCAAAAATCAAAGTCTGTTGATGACCATAAAATTTTCCGTGAGAAGAACAACTATGCAAGACGTCAAGTCGCACTGGCTCGGACAGATCAGTGCAGAGAGTGGCTCACTAAAAGCAAAGGTGAACAAATGAAATCTCTATCGTACGCAAAGCAAAGCGTACGAAAAAAGACATGAAAAAATGACCAAAATGAGATGGTTCTTGATTCCGATTCCAGACATCACTGTAGAGGAGCTTACAGAAGCTCTGAAAGCTATGAAGGATGGAAAGGCAGCAGGGCCCTCTGGACTCACAAATGACATTATCAAAGCATCTGGTACTGCGGGTATCCAAACGTTACTACAACTTTGCCGTGAAATCTGGAGAAATTGCTCAATGCCGACTGAATGGAACAATAGCATGACAGTCCCGCTATACAAAGGCAAAGGTGATCCATTGAACTGTTCATCATATCGGTGTATACGTCTGTTAGAACACTCTGAAAATAGTTGAGAAAATCATTGAGAGAAGATTAACGTCGTGCATCACGATCGGGAATTATCAATTTGGTTTCCTAGCGGAGAAATCAACAATTGATGCAATTCACGTCCTTCGGCAACTGCAAGAAAAGTACCTCGCAAAGCATCAACAACTATCACACATTTTTATAGACCTTGAAAAAGCATTTGATCGAGTTCCCCGTGAAGCAATCAGGTAGAGTCTACGTCGACAACTCATTCCAGAATATCTTGTTCGACTTGTGATGGAAATGTATACGAATACTAAGACTCTCGTCAGCACAACGGTTGGAAACACAGATGCATTTGACATCGGCGTTGGAGTTCACCAAGGCTCGATTCTCAGTCCACTGTTATTTATAACTGTGATGGAAGAAATCACAAAACCATTACGCACTGGTGACATTTGGAATCTAATATATGCTGATGATATCGTTTTAACAGCCACGTTTGAGCAGAATGCAGCACAGATGTTCGAAGATTGGAACAGCAAACTCGCCGATCATGGATTCAAAGTCAACATCAGCAAAACCAAAGCAATGAACACTGGTGAACCCATCCAATCCACAGCTACTGGACGATGGCCCTGTTCAGTTTGTAAAGCTGGTGTAGGTAACAATTCAATCAAGTGTCAGCAGTGTAACCAGTGGTGTCACAAACGTTGTTCAAAAATAGTTGGTACTTTATCTAAAGTGTCCAATTTTGTCTGTTTGCATCAATCCACAGCAACAAATTCGAAATAGCAATGTTTTTGAAGCCATTAAGGTAGAGAAAGTCACATCGTTTCAATATCTAGGGGATGTTCTGGATTGTACTGGAACAGCTGAAGCTGCCGTTCGAGCACGCATACGTGCAGCCTGGAATAAATAGCATCTCCTTGCCTCTGCGGTGGTTTGGTCATGTCAAACGAAGTGGAAACAGTGCCATAACTTCTCTTGCAAATGACCTGGCACACGTCCCAAAGGCCGTCCAAAGAAGTCCTGGTCGCAAACAATCGAGCAAGACATGAAAGCTCTAAATTTAAATGAAATGGATACAACTGATTGTCTAATTTGGCGCAAAAAGTTGATGGCAAAGAGAACAACGTCCTACCTCGGGGAACCGGGTCTCTGGACGCAAAACGAAGATTGTTTGATTGTCTCAAAAACAGTAATCTTGATTATTACGCTGTTGCATGCAAGCAAAAGCTTGGACACATGAAATGAGAGAAAATGACAGATTGGATGCACTTGAAACAGTTTGCTACAGCACAATTTTATAATTAGTTTGAGACACCAAGATTTAAAAAAATTCACAAGTATTTAAAAAAGTAAAATCACAGATTATTTGCAACTCTACTAATTAGGAAAGGAAACTGGATGAAGAAAGCTAGAAAACCTGCTATCAAATAGATGGATAACATGAAAATAGATTATGGAAGTTAAACTCGTTACAAATGGCCAAAGAGATTCAAGATGATGTTATTGATTGATTACAACAAGCGAAGTTGAAAACTCGGCGTCGAAATTGTTCGGTAAAAACTTCCTGCGTATACTGTTGAGAAATTTTCGAGAAAGTCTTTTTAAGTTTTTTCATGCAAAAAGTGGAAATAAGCTTATCGTTTCGCATTATTTGTGTTTTTCGACAATTATTTAATCAATGGCAAAGTTTGCAGCAGAAGTTTATAGCTCATTCAAGTCTAAAACTAACAATGCCTCAAGCAAGCAAGTTAAAATCATGAAGGAACTGTATCACGCATATGAAAATCTGGTTCAGATTGCAAATAAAACTACAAATGTGGGGCTAATGTTTGAAGATTCTCAAAAATATTGAGATATTTTATTTTCTATAAACAATCGATTTTCAGATTATTGTAGATGTAATCAATGAAGTTTATAGCTCATTCAAGTTTAAAACTAACAACTTTTCAAAATGATTTATTATTATTTCAGGTGTGAGCATAGTCCATGATAGCCACAGTCCCGCTGTTTTGCCTTTTCAATCAGGTTTAATTATTTATTTTAATATGTGTAATCCGTAATATAGTTATAATTTTAATCTGTACAAACTCACTCGGTTCGACGTCTTTACATGATCAAGATTGTTCACTTTTATAAAATAATAATAGGTGGCTATTTAGTTGGCGACTCATATGTGTTATTAGTGTTCAAATAAAATTCAAATCGTATTAATTAATTCAAAGAAATTGAACGAGAAACAACTTACCCATATAGACAGAGTGTCGGAATCGGAGATTTTTTGAGAGCCAAGAGTCGGATTTTTTAGAAGCCGAAGTCGGATGTTTTTTCCGACTCCGGAAAATGTTATTTAATTTTAAAAAAATTTCATTTTTTTTCCTAAAAATTTTTTTTAAGATTGTGTTTAATACTGAAAATAAATGCTAACAATCTGAATAAAATCATATAATTTTTTTAGTATGTTGTAAAACATGAAAATAAAGTAATTTTACCAAGAAAAACCATAACTTTGATAATTTTAAGTGTTTTTTAAAGTATCTTTTTATTTAGTAGTGATAAAAAAGTAAAATACTGATACAAAAATTGAAAAAAAATTCAGTAAGTTTTAAAACATAAATTAAAGTAATTTTACTATGAAAAACAATTACATTGGCTGATTTTAAGCGTTTTTAAAGTATTTTTCATTTAGTAGTTATGGTAAGCTGAAATGGTGATACAAAAGTTGAACAATTTTTCTGGAATTCGGAAATTTTCACCCTGAGTCGGATTTTTTTGAGGAGTCTAAGTGGGGTAACACTGAATATAACAAATGTCTCATTGTTTTCAAGATAACGTTTTGTTTAATGTCATATTATATTACCCTACACCGAGCTGTTAGCTGTCTCGCCACAGACTGTTGTTATAACTATATTTTCATTATTTCATTTAAGATCAGCTCATATCTGTTTATACCTTATATATGAAGATAATTCAAGAGGCGCTTTATAATATAATACGATATCCGTCTGTTTATGTATACAAACTCGTTCTCTTTACAATATACACTATATCAAATTATTTAACCTCTTATAAAGTCATGACAACTTTTTTGACCAATTCCTCCACATCGAGAGTTGAGGCGTAGACATGTGTAAGTCATATGCCGAACTATAGCCAGCGAAAGTTTGGGATACATAATTAATTCATAAACATCAATTGGTTTCTCTGAGATTCCTCGCAGATGACATTTCGAATGGCATAACCAGTACCATGTATGTGCGAAGCGTTTTGCTGCAGTCTCCCAGAAAAAAAAAACACAATTAACTTTTTTTTTTAGCGGGCCTTCATCGGGCAGTCAAGTTTCAGATAGTGCAGCAGCGTCAACTCGGCATCTTTCAAGTTTAATAGTAACGTCCGACAGGGCGTTCTGACAACCTTCTCTGTTGAAGGTGTGCTCTCTCCTTCTGTCTGGATCGACTGATTATAACACCGGTTGCTCTTGAGTCTTTTTGCACCAAATATAATGAAAGGTCGATGTCAACGCTGTTATCGCTTCCAGTAAGTTTATGATGGGATGAATACGATAGGGCAGTATAAAATACCATGGCCAATATACTCCGAGAAAGGATTCATCTGCTACAGTATTCTATAGCGTCAGGCCCTTACACAAAATTAAAAATAAAACAACATCGCGTTAAAATTTGCGATGTTTGGTATAAGACAAAATCTTTTACGGATAAAGCAAAAATGGGAACACATCAGAATTTTAAAAATTCCTAGCAAATAATTCCACAGCTCAGATATTTACTGTTCTCTTTTTCATAACATTAATATTAATAGCGCATTTCATGAACCGAAAGAAGCTAAACGATCCACATTCTACATTTATTTAACACTTTGTTCGATTTAATTAGTCAATAAAAAATGTTTTACAGCTTCTGGCATGGCGGAGATAGAAAATGCGATTCCAGTGTCTGATGAGAAAGTTGAAGATCGGACGAAAAACAAACGCAAAATATGCTACATTTTCTGACATTTTGAGCACTTTTATTTAATAAATCATCACGACAGATTTATTTTAATATACAATTTCCATTTATTTCATATAATCATCTTATTTGCATAAATTATTAGATCTTGTTTACAATTTTGGCGAATAGTGTAATTGTAAGCCATTTATGTGCTCATTGTTAAATAACAGTCCAGTTTTTTTTAATAAAGACCCTCTAACATTTAGAATTTTAAATTGCTTATTGACGGCAACTCTGGTAATTTGATGTCCTTGATTCTTTGAGGAATGTTCATTTCCTTCACTGCAGATACGGCTCGCGCAGGTGCTGATGTGAGGCCAGCCTGAAACAATCAACCATTCTTTTAACATTTAACTATTTTAAATTAACTATTAATTATCTTTATTATTATTAAATTAATTTCAACCATAACTTGAGGCAAGAGGCTAATTTAATTTATTTCCAAGAGATTCAAGTTCAAACGATGGAGTAGAAATTTTTGTGATTAAGCATCAAGCATTTACTATTTCTTCAATATCTAATATTGTAACTTATTGATTTGTTTATTAAGAAATTCGCTCCTTTGCTTATTTTAAAAGAATTGTGAAGTTAATGTTCATTTTATTAAATTATAGAGCTATTCAAAATTTATTCAGTGACGCGTTAAAATTTGCGTGTTTATTTCTATCTATTTAAAACTAAAATTGTTCTGCTAATAAACGACTCATTTTCATTTTTTAGCGTATTAGTCTTATCCGTAAACATAAATGATAATGCGGGCAAACAAGTATCTGTTAATTTATAACGAATGCAAAGAAAAAGTTAGGAAATATTATAAAACTTGACGTCGGTCTAATGAAATTAATCGTTAAAATTGGTTTGACAAATATTTTGACATTGTTATTATGTGTTGAAAATTAGGAATCGCTTAATAAAGTAGAAATTAACACAATGAAAAATTTTAAAGCCTAACAGAACGAAAAAAAGAAATAATTAACCTCTAATTTTTCTATTTTATTTTGTTCTTCAATGCGGGTTAATATTTCAGTCATGTTCGTTTCAAGAACCATTCCCCCAATGCACAACTCCGACAGTATGCAATGCACCTAGAAAATTATTTTTCTTCTATTTAAGAATCTGATGATCCAAACTTTACATATTCAATTCATTTAAGAAATCTTTATAAGATGACTTCAATGAACAATTTGATCTCTTCCATCTAGCGCATCTTAGCTTTTTGTTATGGATAACGTGTTTTATTTTTACGGTACAAGAGACCATGAATGGACATTTGAAATTAAAAATATTTGATTTTTTAAAATTCATGTTTGCCATTTGGTCTTTTATAACTTGATAAAAATTTTATGACATTTTTATGGAAACTTAAATAAACCATGATTTCATTTTTAAAAGATAAAAGTGAATTTTATTCATTTAACTCTATTTTTTCTTGAAATCTATTTTATTGTATTTTTTTTTCGGCACATTTTTATGAAATATTGTTTTTGGAACAGAATGATGCATATATCACTTATTGTTTTTTTGAAATAAAGAAAATTGAGTGAAGAGTAAGCGGGTTCAGAGAACAGGTGAAAGATGCAGAGTAAGCACTGTTGTTTAATCGATTTCACAAGAGTATTTAAAAGATAACGGGCCACCGTAAAAAATATAGGAGTATCTGAAGATGAGGTCAAATTAATAAAAATGGCAGCAAAAACTGGAGGAAGACGATAAAATATTGCAACCTCATTTTATTTAAATTTTCTATATAGTTTCACTCATTTGAAGTACAGTATTTTGAGTTAATTTTCATATTTCTCATCTGTATTTCCAATCAAGTTTATGTTGTTAAATCGATAATGGATGCAGAACTAGTGTAGATAGTTTACAAAAGCTGATTAACAAAAACAAAAAAAAGTCGGCCAGTTCGTTTACTTGGACAGTTTCATAATTAGCGAAAAATTTCTCAAAAGAAATACTGAAGAGCTGAAGAACAACTATTGTACGATAAATTTTTGCATCGTTTGCAAAGGATTTTGAAAAGTGGTGATATTTCACCATAACAAAGTTGAAAATAATATTAAGTTTTTTACTAAGCTGTATGTATGCAAAACTCAGAAAACAAAAATAAAGATGAAAACAATGAAACAAAATAAAAAAAAATCACAAACTAGCGTGCAAATTAAAAAAGTATATACGAGCAGTGGCGGATCCTAAATTTATCGGCGGTGGGGAAGTGATTTCGAAGTTGATGAACTTTTTTTGCTAATTGCTATAAATTTCCGTTTAATCTCGTTTGAACACTCTTAGTTGGTGACCTTTTTTGATAATTTCCGTTTATTTTATAGTTTAGATAATCTTCAATATTTAATGCATTTTTATATTGAGAACAAAAATATAAAGAAAACGTATCAAGAGTCATTTTTTGTAATAAGTTTTATTTTTTATTTCTGAAACCTTTCAAAGACGCGAATTATCGACGATAGTAGGCTGCACACAAATGATTGATTTTGAAACTTATTTTCATCGGCTATATTAATGGACGCCAGCAGCAAACGTCACTAGTGTGCTACCAACACTGCCAGTGTGTAAGATCGACTTTTTGTTAAAAAATGAAATAAGTTCTTTTGATTAAAAAAATATATTTTAAAATAATCGTCAAAAATTGTTTTCATTGCAATTTAATTTTTAAAAAATAGTGAAATGTGAGCCGATTTAATTGTCCTAGCTGCGAATGAATTTTTATAAAGGATGTCCCATTCATTAAATATTTAAATTTACATGCATATGATGAAACTGTCAATACAAACGGAAGCACAACTCAATGCCACCAAGTATTTCGTGGAAATTTATGATTACATGAACAACTCCAAAGCACAGTTTAAACTAACAAGGGGCTTGTTGCAGCTAATTAGCAATTTAGAGTGGAGCAAAGAGCCGTTAAACCAGTTCGTCGAAATTAGTGGCATAACCAGAAATTTGTTGTTTAGACGTTTTAAAAAAGTTGTCGACTGTTTTTTGTTTTTTTCCCGACTCACATTAAAAGAGAAAAATGAAAACCACGTATAATAAAAATTTTCTGTGGTGTTGTAAGAAGCTATGCTAATTAGGAAGATCAATTTGTAAAAAAACTTAAATTTATTGGCCTGATTGAGGTTGACACTGTGTTAAAATAATAATAAAAAGATATGCGTAAATAAGGAGAAATAAATAAAAGTTAAATATAATGCATTCATCACCAGATTAAATATACTTTCAGACAAATATTTTAAATTTACTTTGTCAACATGGAAGATTAAGTCCAATTCACAGACATTCTCAAAACATTTGTCCAGAGTTTCAACAAAAACCTGTAAAACATTTTTACTTTATTATTAGAGCATGAGAATGATATTGAAATATAGCAACCTGTATCAAGTCTAATATTCCGAGCTCACTTTCTGAAGAGTCAACACAAAAAACAAAATATAATGTGGCATAATGTCTGTATATCAATTTGTAGTCTGACCCGCCAATTAATCTGAAAATTTTGTTTATTTGTGATATTAACAATAACAAAACATTGATACAAATTCAATAATAACTTAACTGCTAATATAAAAAATAATGAACATGGGTCAAAAATAAGTGCAACGTTCGATGCTCAAATTCTTTTGTCAACATTCTTAAAAATTAGTTGCTTCAGATATTTAATGCACATAGCGTTCTATTAGTCGAAAATTTTACGGCGGCTGAAGAATAACCGAAAAAATTGGGTTGAGACTGACAGGTCAGACAGTTATCGTATATTGCTGTGATAGAACACGCAACTCCACATTTTAAAAAAAATACAAAAAAACCAAAACACAAACAAATCAAAAAAAGAACGCACGTTCCCCCCTCAAGAAAATTGCATACATTGTCATCTCTTTTTGACACTAAATGGAATGTTTCTCTGATGATTTGTTGCTGCATATCTTCTTGCTATCAAATTAAAAAAGTTTATTATGAAATTAATTAATTAACGATAAATTATGAAAAACTGCATATAATAAATATTAATAAACTTATCCTCTTTAGCAAGTTTTAATAACTCGACTATTTTTTATTATCTACTCTTCCAGTGTAAACGATTTATGAAAATTGTGCAAATAATCTCAAAATGATCACGAACCAAACTAATAAAATCTCATCATCATTATTGCATTACCACCACTATTCCTTTTCAATATCATTACAATTATTTACAGTCCAGTAGTCTCGAGGTCTATCGAATCAATGCACTTCACACTGACCATCAAAAAATTATAAATGATTTTTTGCTGCCAACAAACCAACTTTTATTTCTTTCTTTTTATTTTAACTATCAACATTCAAATTAAAACATGCAAACTAAAGCACCGAGATTTCCACAGCTAAAGTCTGGATATAATATCTCAAACATTTCCTGTAACAACCCACTCATTTCATTCATTCACTAACTTCCTAGTTTTTACACACCCTTTTTTAGAATTTTTTTTTCACAATTTTCTTAAAACATAGAATTACATCACCCATTTTACTTCACTTTTTGATCATTTGCTATGAATCAGTCCCCACTTCTCTTCTTTTAATTCAAATTATTCTCTACATAACAAACAAAAGATAAGTAGATAAAATAAAATAAAAGATATTGATAGGAAACAGTGTTGTCAGTTTTACAAAAGATAACCTTAAAACATTAAAAAAAAAGTGCTTACATAATACTGATAGAACTTGGTGAGTCGTGGCTTACCATGGTTGTTGAAAACAAGAATTGCTTTAATCATTTATGGGGTTTTGCCTGAAAAAAAATTTTATTGTTAACAAAAACAAAAAGTTGAGTTTTTTCACAGTCATGAAAATTTAATGGTGGACATTCAAAAAAATGTTTAACAGCTTGCAAAGACACACAATGAATTTGATGTGGAAAATGTGAAGAAAAGAAATGAAAATTTGCTAATTGATATTCAAAACAGTGTAAAGCAGCTTGCAAACACATGCAATGAATGTGGTGGTAAAAATGTTGTTTCGACTCCTGTTGAAAAGATGATAACGTAAATAAGGCTATCGAGAGTGCATGAAAAGTAAATCTAGTTCGTAGAGACAGTGTTATGCGTGTTGATGATTCATTTAAAAATATTAAAGATAAATCATAGTCTCAACACTTCATCATGGTGAAGCACAAAAGAGGCAATCTTACTATTCAAAATAGTATTAGTGATGTTGTGTTGAAAGTAGTTGTTGGTTTTCATGCACCTGCTGAATCAAGAATAACTGACAGTAAAATTATCCTTAAAAAAAAATATATCATGTTGGAAATGTGTCCAAATTTTCTGTGACCAATATTGTTGAGCATTTCAAATTGATAATTGAATTGGTGTTATCTCGTGTTATCCTACGTTCAAGAAAGATAAAAAGGAAAAGTCTAATGATTCACTGCCATCAACCTCCTTTTGAATGTGTTTTGATGCCAAATTCTCTGATGGGATTACCGAAGCAAATTCTTGGCCTGAAAATGTGCGAATTAGAGAGTGGCCACTCAACGGCCAAATCGATAACATTGATTAAAACAATTAATTAAGTTTTAATTAATTAAGTTTCAATATGATTTTTATTTATGTTTACTGTAGATAACGCTTTTGAGAATATTAGCTTTTAATTAGCGCTCTATAAATTTAATAATACATGTGGGTAAGTTCAACTCTAAACACCGTTACCAAGTATAATTGTCCAAACACCGCCCAAAAGATAACTACTGCCGAAATTGCGCGACAAGATGGCGCAAAAGAAGAGAAGATGATCTTGTATCACGATTGGCCCCTTCTAACGAAGGGGCGGAAAAGCTAATAAGAACCAACTTTGTGGGGCAGAGGTTGGCTAGTAGAATTGACGCCCCCCAGTACCGTAATTAACGTTTCCAGACTACATCGAAATCGAAACGATCTATGACTGAACGGAAAAGTTGATCAACGAGAATGTGTAATTACAGTCGACACCGGAGCAACAAATTCGATTTTAAGATCTGATTTGGTACACAATCTGAAGAAAGAGACTTCTAACAAATACATCCTTCGAACAGCTACAGGAGGAACAGCACCAGTCTATGGAAAGATTCTCCGTACTGTTCAGCTAGGCGACTTGTTATTCGAAGGTTCATTCTTAGTCGCGGATATCATCGACGAATGCATAATAGGTGTCGACTTTCTGACAAAATATGGGTTCAAAATTGACTTAGAAAAACGCATTCTTAGATGGAGAAATACAGAAGTGATAATGGGGGATAGCGACGAAAAATGCATTCGAGTGACAGTCGATTGTGACATAGAACTACCTCAATCATCTGAAAACATCGTATGGGGCAAGTTGAATTGCGATCCAAGGGGCCACCAGTTCTATTTGATGGAGCCAACCTCAACGACAAATGTACAGAACGTGGTCATTGGAAAATGCCTGGTAGAAGCGAACAAAAATGGTCTTATTCCTGTCAGAATAATGAATACCGCTAAACACACTATTAAAATTAAAAAAGGCGAGGAAATAGGTAATTGCCAATCAATAAATTTGGTGAAATCATTAGATGTGGAGCAACAGGAAAAGGTTCTAGCAACTGACAAAGGTAGACTCAAAGAACTTACCAAAAATCTACTGGATGAACTCAATTTGTATCAAGAAGACCGTCTAAAAGCCGAGGCGTTGATTGCTGATTTTACAAAATACGTGGATAATCTTCGACAGCGATTACACCTTAAAATTATGAAAAACAGGGAGGCGGCCAAAACCAGATACGACTTGAAAGGAAGCAGTGGCGGTTTTGCTGTCGACGAGTTAGTTTGGCTGTACAACCCACAGCGAAAGAAAGGACGTTCTCCAAAGCTCCAGCGAGGGTGGAAAGGACCTTATCAAGTCATCACCCGCTTGAATGACGTCGTCTACCGTATTCAGGAATATCGGAAGCCGAGAGCAAGAATGAACATCGTTCATTTGGATAGACTGGCTCCGTACCATGCGGACACCGGAGCGAAAGCTGTTCGGGACGAACAGAACTAAGAAGGGAGTAATGTTATAACCTTGCTACCGAACGCACTAGATTCTAGCGTATTCTAGAATGTTCTAGTGACTGGAACGTTCTAGAGTATACTGGAATCGGACCATCTGGAAGAATCTAGAAACGACGCTTGCGAAGAGTATATAAGCGCACGTCGCAAGAAGATTAGTGATATTCGTGATTAGTGATATTCGTGATTAGTGATATTCGTGATTAGTGATATTCGTGATTAGTGAAATTCGTGATTTTGTGAATAGCGATTCGGTGAATTATTTAAAGCGATATTTGATTTGTTTGTTGACGTTGTCATAGCGATAGATTTTGAAAGATTTAAAAGTTAATTGTTGCGTTAGTGCAAATTTACTGGAAATAACTAATAATAGTTGATTTCTTCTGTAAATAAAGTTTAATAACTGTTTGGAGTATTTTTATTCAATCGAAGATTTGAATTCGTCGCATCGTAAACCGGTTACGACAGCGAGTCTTATAACAGTATCATAACATACAAAAGTGGACCATCAGCCACGCAAATTGATTTCTTCGCTGTCAAGCAACAACACCGAAGGCTATTCAAAAATTTCAAAGTTATACCTGGCGAATCATGTGTCGTCTAACATAGACTCTTTGTGGCAGACCTGGTTGTCGAACTGTCAAAACATAAGTCTAAACAAAGTTGATGGTAAAGAAAACAACGTCCTACCTCGGGGAACCAGGACTCTGGACGCAAAACGAAGATTGATTGATTGATGTAACTGGACGAAAATAGTGATTTACATACAAAGTTAAAAATTTGTTTAAGAGCATAACCCATAAAACGAGTAAAAAAAACTATGCAAAAAACTAGAAAATGTGTAACTCTGAAAACGAAATTAAATGTTTTAAAACGATTTGAAGAAGGGCAACGTGCTGTTGACATTGGAAAAGCTTTGAGCCTGCCTCCAACAACAGTTAAGACTATTTATAATAATGCTAACAAAATTAAAGCATCGGTTGAAGCAGTTACTTTAAAAAATTGCTGTCAGAATCGTAAGATCTAGAGATAAGATTATGGAAGATATGGAAAGATATTTAAACATATGGGTAGAAGAAAAAAATCAAAATCGCACTCCCATAAGTGTAGCAATTATTCAGGAAAAGGCCAGATCTTTATGGAATCATCTAAGAAAGTCAGGTGATTACGTTGACAATACAAACAACAGTTTTAAAGCAAGCAACGGCTGGTTTCAGAAGTTTAAAGAACGGTATAATTTACATAATATTAAAGTAACCGGTGAAGCTGCAAGTGCGGATATTGATGCAGCATAAAACTATCCGAAAGAACTAAAGAAAATAATCACCGAGGGATGCTATAGCTCAAAACAAGTCTTCAATGTAGACGAAACCGGACTTTATTGGAAGAAAATGCCATCACGTACCTTTATATCAAAGGAAGAGAAAACATCATCTGGATTCAAAGCCTCTAAAGATCGCGTCACACTTTTCTTGGGAGAAAATGCAGCCGGGGATGCAAAGTTAAAACCTTTGTTATTGTACAAGTCAGAAAACCCAAGAGCTCTTAAAGGTTACGCAAAGTGTAATCTTCCAGTAATATGGAGATCAAATAAAAAAGCCTGGATGACATCGAATATTTTTCATGACTGGATTTCATCCTATTTTGCGCCTTTTGTGAAAAATTATTGCTATCCTGTAAACATCGATTCAGAGAATAATATACGTGTTATATTTATGCCACCAAATACAACTTCGATATTACAACCCATGGATCAAGGTGTCATTGCATCATTTAAAGCTTATTATCTACGTAGAACAATGAAACAGCTGATAGGTAGTAGCGATACAAATGACAAAAGTACGATTCGGCAGTTCTGGAAGAAGTATAATATTAAAAAAGCCATTGATAACATTGAATACGCGTGGGCTGAAATTACGGAACGCAATTTAAACCGTGTCTGGAAAAACCTTTGGCCGGATTGTGTGAAAGACGAAGAATCCTACAACGCAACAGAAATGCAGCATGAAATTGTAGCACTAGCAAGAGAAGCTGGCTTTAATGAGGTGTCCTTGGAGGATATTGTGGAGTTATTGGACTCTCATGGAGAAAATCTATCCAATGAAGATCTTGTTGAATTGAGCCAAAACAGCGTGACAAATCAGGTTTCAGTCGAAACAGATTCAGATTCTGAAATTCAAAAAAAACTTACAAACAAAGGAATGTTAGAAGCTTTTACACTCATTGAATCAAGAATGACAATATTAAATGAAGATGATCCAAATATGGAGCGTAATATGAAATGTAATCGACTAATCGAAGAGGGAATTTATCCATATAAAGAAATCTATAATGAAAACAGAAAGAAAGCTACTCAGATGATTCTTCATTCCTTCTTTGATATTACAGCAAAGGAAACCCAAATCACGGGAATGTCCATTGAAAATGAAATAAATAATGCTTTATATTGAATACTTTTGCATTAAAATTGTTAAACTTAAATTCAGATTACGATCTCAAGCAGTTCTTGTTCATCAGAAGCATAGTTTCATTTTATTTCATTCTTAATACATACATATGTTCATTTTTTTATGTTTTTCTAATGTAAATATTTTTATTTTTATATTTTTTTGCTTTCTCATTTAATGTAAAGATTTTCATTTTTATATTTTAATAAAAAATTATGCTTTAAACAAATCCTCATTTAACATCGATTTCGTATTGCATCGTGTTTCCAGGAAAGCATCCTCAATGTAAAAAGAGATTTTCCTGTATCTTTAATTAGATTTTGCTATAGAATAACCTTTCATCATAACAGTTAATTATAATCATTCAGTAGCTTCATTGATGCTGCATTTGTTTAATGTTTATTTTCTTGAAAACAATTAACAAATTCTTATTATCTAAATTGATGGTGACCATCAATTAAATTATTTTCTTATCTATTTATTTTTGTTTATTTTTAACATTCACTTTACAGGCGATTTTTGCTATTTGCAAATCTAACTTTTAATGATATTAGATTTTTGCTCTATGTTTGATAGCTTAGCTTATTAACATATTTTTTTTCTTTTTATATGCTAGATATGCGACGTTAAGCACGTTGCAAAAATCACTTTTAATGCAATTAAAACAGGAAACATTACCTATAAAAAATTAAAATCTGGTATTAAAACATTAGTAGATTTCAACGCTTTAATTTTCTATGTGAATAATAGCAGTGCTGCTAGTTTCGAAATCAACATTGAAAAAGAATAAAATCTTATCAAGTTCATCAGCTCAAAATTTTCAATGCTAAATCAACATTGAAAAAGAATAAAATCTTTTCAAGTTCATCAGTTCAAAATTTTCAATGCTGAATCTTGTGTCCAATTAGTCAATTGTGAAGTTTTGTTCCAACTAAGCCAAAAAGAATAAATTGTGTAACTGGACAGTCCCAGAATCAAAAAAATTCTGGGTAAAACCTTGAATGGTACTTTCACGTAGCAATGCATGTATTTGTTTTATATATCCTATTTGCATGTAAACTTCACTTACATTGCAAATAAATTTAAGATTAAAAAATAATACAATGCAGCAGATATCATCTTCATTTAAAGATTAAATATAAATAAATTAGTAAGCATCTAAATATCAATTAATTAGTCAATTAAATTAAAATAAGTTAAATATTATTAAAACTTAAAACAAAACCATATCTAATATCTAAAATAAAAATCAAATAAATTAAATAAAACTAAATTTCTATAGAAAGATAGACAAAATACATTATTGAAACTTATTAATTAACAATCAGATTCTTTCCATAGAAGTTTCATTCATTAGGATTAGCATTGGATGATTAAAATTTAATTTAATAATGTAAACTTAAAAATTTAATTAATAAAAGTAAAAAAAAACTAACCAACCAAAAAGAATAATCAATATAAATAAAATAAAAATAAATGATTAAAACATGAATGAATAATTGTCTATTTTTTACTTTTCAGATTCACTGAACAATCGACAGGTCAAGCAAAAAGGCAGGAGGCAGGCTGGGAAGTGTGGATGGTGGATATTCCTGGATAGATTAGGATTAGAGATGATGTATTGACAGCAGTTTACCGAAAAAACTAAGTTGTAAAATATTTACACTTTACTTCAACTTATGACAAATGCAAATATAAATGAGGAAACGGTCAAAGTACGCAACAACTTTTAAAATGTTAATTACATATCATTTGGACATATTAAAAAATGATGGCATAAACATTTAATCAACGAAAACCAGAACGTAATTTCAGATTTACTTTTAAAAGTAAAAAGTTGGAAGACCGAACAAAAAGTTTGAAAATACCTTTTAAAAATACTCGCTTATTATTTGTTATTTAGAATTAAACTTATAAAAAGTATTATAATGTAAGTTGAGCTATAGTACATAAATTTATCGTTGACCTGGAGTAATTTGCGTGCATGGCATTTCATACTGTACCCTATTCTATGGTGTTCTTCCCAGTATGAACAAATTTTATTAGAAGCAAGAACAACGGTGACGTTGCATGTTTAATATAAATGGTGAAGAGAAATCTCAAACAATATGCGTTTGTTTGATCGGCAAGAACTGAATTATAAAATATAAAGACAAACTTCTCCAGGTCAACAATTAGATAAACAATTATTTTAATTCCTACGTGTAATTTAATTATTTGCATTGCCATTTGATGATTTCCATTGTGCCCTTGCACTTTATAAAGTCAAAATGTAAGCTATAACTTTTGTAAAAAAAAAATGATTTAATGGTGTTGCCCCATCGTATTCCTTCCGTTATTAACTTTAATAAAAAACAAAAGCAGCTTGAAGGTCATGCATCCATTTTAATTGATGTTAAACGCTTCCAGGTGTTAATTGGTATAACTCAAATTTTTACGTATAATTCAAAGGTGTTAAAAAGTCTTACTGTAGTAAAAATTTAAAAATTATATTTGCTTTTACAAACGTTATTCAACCATGCTCTGAAAAATATTCGTATCTCCATCTTTTACTAGTAACTCTCTTCATTAACAGATTAAACATATTTATTTTATATGTTGTAACCAAAACAAATCCTGTTAAGACAAATGAAAGTTTGCTTGAGTTGCAGACTGATCGATCTACTGTTCCGATATTGTGTAAATTGTATTTTCTATTAATTGGTTAATTCCCGTTATTTGGTTAGCTACACCATCCGTATTACCGTAACTGATCGGAAATGATCAGACGTTCAACAGTATTGAATTTAATGGATCGATTAACACGAAATACCAGTCTGAAGTTTGTCATACCAATTTTGGAGGTCGAATGACGATTTTCCATGGGGTCGCCTACAATTTGTTAGAACTTTTTAAAAAAGATTATTTGTTGGGTATTTCAGACTTGTGCAGTTTTTGGTAAGATGCTCAATGAGAAAATAAGTCAGCTACGGCGCTAAAAAGATTGGGAACAGCTTTTTTAAACGGTGTTGATGTTATTCGCAAACAAAAATTTAACATAGAATGTTTTTCAATCGCTAATTAATATTTTGCGATTAAATTTGTTGATTGCTACTATTTATTCGCTTACTGGCTTGCTTATTGCTTTTTTTATTTGTTTTTTGCTTTTTTAACAATAGGTGACACTGAAAACTATTTTCGTTAAGTTTATTTAATTTATGAGTTGCCTCTATTTGAAAAATTTGAACATTCGGTATCGTTTCCACTTTCCACTTGTTGTATGGCTTAACCGAAGGGCTGCGTATCAATGATGGATTTCGATAGCTTAATGGAATATATACCAGGGTGTCGGAGTCGGATGGATAATAATGACTTCAACTCCCCTCCAAAAAATTCCGACTCCGAGTAAAAATTTCTGACTCTGACTTTCGATTCCGAGTTTCGAGTCCAAAAAAAATTTTTCATAATTTTATGAACAAAAACGCACCACTATGATGTCGAAATGTTTTTGTTTAATTAACCAATTTTAATAGTTTAATTTTAACTTTTATGTAATTTTTCCGTAATCAAGAAAAAATTGGACTGAAATGAAAAAGCAAAGGAGTTTTTTCATAATACCAGAGCCGATGATAGAGGCGACAGGAGCAGTACTTGATATGAACGTTTTTGAATCAGAAACGAGGGAGGCAACATCTAGCAGGTCGGAGACATCAATGCACGAAGGTGCAAACTATTCGTGTTGCAGATCTATCAAAATTTCTGCAAATAAGAAGCTTCAGAAAATTCTGCCTATTAGCGTATGCATGATATTTCATTAAACTAGTGATATTACTTAATAGAATATTCTTTATTATTAATCTAGAATGACCAAACATTAGTACATGATCAAATGCTTTTATCAAACGAAAACGAGAAGCGTCCCAAATTTAATTTAATTTTCGTTATAATTATATTAACCTTCTGGTGTGGATTTGTTTGTCAAATGATAGCCTTCTTTCTCTCAGGTTCATTGTTTTGTTACTAACAAAATATTTTATATATATCATTTTTTGAGGTTTATTGTTAATATTATTCTTCCAAGTTAAGTTTACTTTTAATAATTACCTTCCGAGTGAACCAAATTGTCATTCAAAATTCACGTGATTTTCTGTAACGTAATGAATGAACCGAAAATGTACGAAGCCACCAAATAGAAACAAAACTCAACACGTGCAATTCGGCCCCTTTAAATAATATTAACGAATTAACGGTTTAAAAGTTAATTTTATGTTTTGAAAATTAAACCCTTATCATGTCATTTTTTGTGTCTATTGGAAGTATTTGTTTAGTTATATAAAATGTTCATAAAATCTTTTTGAAACCTCTTGAAACAATAAAAATTTAATTTTTATACTCAGCGCGAACGTTGGGATTTAATTCTGTGCCTTCGTACAACCACTTGACTCACATACTTTAATGTCGTACGATCGGAAGGTATTGCTTCAACTTCAATAACATTTTTTATGAAAACTGTTATTCACTGCGATTGCTTAGTGATAGGTTACTTGGCGTCACATAATGGCAAGTATAAAAAAGCCAGATGGTTGAAAAGGTTTGCATGGATCATACTATCTGGAGGTCCAATATTTATTATTGTGATGTTCGTTCCACTTCAAAAACCTTATTCGCCGCCATTTGTAATGGTTGATAATTATACGTACACGAGACGCTGTGATCCAGGATGTTTTTTTCAAGAATTATTGGAAAAATGTTTTTGTTAAAATTTTATTTATTGAAAAACCTAAAAAAGTGGTTTGAGTGCAATAAAATGATGTCAATTGTTTCAATTGTAAATTTTAATGAAGTCTCGATGGAACTCATATATAGACAAACATATCGCTAAACTAATTCCAATCAATACTCCAACAGTTGAGATTATATACGAAACTTTCAGGTAAAATTTTCCATCTTCCCAATTTCCTTGTTCAAATTTTGTTTTCCCTAAAACTAAAATTTCAATAATTTTAATACAATTGATTTTTCAG